AAAGACTGCTTCTTGCTGCAAGGTATTTCTAGACACATTTGGAAAATCATTATAAAAGTGCTCTGTTCCAGAAACCTCGCCTCACATTGTTCGTTTTCATTTTCTTGTTATGAGTTGTGAGCCATGTGCCAAGTTCTTCCCTAGTTGTATAATTCTGTGCATTTTGCTTATTTTGTTGATCATATTACAAGAATATTATACATGCAAATTTCATTCATGGCAGGGCATAGAATGCTTTTGAGATTTTGCACAAATAAAATAAAAACATTTCTCCCTCTCTGCATTTGCTTCTCTCCTATGTTACTTGAGAAGAGTTGGGATTTAGGTTCCTGTCTCAGAATTGATTGACAAGAACAGTAACAAAACCAAGATCAGTTCTCTTGTAAAAATATAATAGAGTATGAATTGCAGTGTTGAGGATATCAGGGCTCTGTGACTCCCTTTATGCATGCTCAGCAGTTCTTTCTTCCTCTCAATACAACACATTTTTCTCTTATCCAGCACAATCCGAATGGCTCAAAAAGAAAATAAATACTGTCATCATTGAGAGCCTTCTGCTGTGGTCAAGCTGCAGGGTTTGATCTTTGAGGAGGAACTTGTTAGGGAAGAAATGTTCTTCATGGTTTCCCTTAAACAGCTCCTCAAGTTCATTTCTCTAAAGGTGTGGATCTGTGCCAGGGTAAGCCACCCCAAGTCCAGGCTGCTGCCTCCCCGCTGTGTGCTGGCTCAGGGAGCTGACGGGGCTGGATATGGTCCCTCAGCTGGCTTCCCCACAAGCATTGCCACCTTGGATCCCTCCAGCCACACTGCACAGGGAGTGAAAAACTGTGGGAGATTCACAGGGATATTCCTCAAAGCAGAAATGTAAAGCTTGGGTTTTCATCAGGAAGGAAAGGTAAAGGCAAGAGAAGAGCAATGTCCTATTTAAAGAGGTGCTCTGGTTGCAGACAGGTGTGGAGCTGGGGAGTTGGATTTAATCAACACCTACCTCCGCCTCTCAGCACAGGGTGTGAAGAAGGTGTTCTCATCCTATGCCTGCAGTTTGATTTATCTTACTGCTGAGTGCTGTTAAATGTTTAGATCAGCTTAATTTTTCACTTCAGTGCTCCTAGTTAAAATTATTATTTTCTGAATGGAAAAAAACAAAATCAGGAGAAACCAAAGTAGTATTTATTCTGATCCTGGCAAGTGGAAAAATTATTCTAGAATAAAAATTCCTTGCCTAAAAATGTTGGGTGATTTTAGCTTTCCTCTTATTCTGACTCTGTCTCAGCTGTTTGTAATCTAGAAGCTTCTTTGATTTTCATTTATCTAGATGAGCTGTAAAAAAACTTGTTATCCTTTCCTTTAGACACCAGAGGATCTTTTATCTCAGGAGGTTAGAGTTCTTAGGGTCTTAGAGTTGGTTTTGCTTTATATACATGAAACACAACTCTTGTCATTTCTCTATACCATGTCTTCTGTGGAGACATTACATTTTTGTAGCCACCTGACGCATTTGACAGGCATTCTTGAAATCAGGCTGAATGTACCTTTGATTAGGATCTAAGCACAGTTTTGAAACGGGCTAAGTCCGCAGCTTCTGAGAAGCACCTGGCTCTTCCCAGAAACTGCCATGGTGATTCAATCTCAGCTTTTATCTTTAGTTTCTAGGATACTGCAGATATTTACTACTTTGAGTAAACCCCCTGAATTAAGCTGGTCAGCTTCTGGGAGTAAATATTTGTAAGTATGTACTTGTCCCTTGTGTCTAGGAGGGCACTGTGCATGTGAGACATCTTCCTTTATCAAGATTTAAAGCTGAGGTCTGGAGTGCCAACAAAATAACCCAGTATCTGGCTGGGCCTTCACAAGAGAAGGAAATTGGTTCCAGTTTTTTTTTGTCACTGTTTAGTCTGCCATTTAATCTATCAAAGCATATCCAAGTTTAAATTGGTTAAAGTGTTCTCATTTCCTGTCCTGAACATGTTGTGTAATAGCGGCCTTTAGCTTTTTAAAATATTTGCTCTGTTTCACTCCAGCATTGGTGAGTAAAGTGGTTACTATGTCACATCAGTTGGTGGGATGCCTTGAAATCTGCTAGGTCCTGTGTACTGCTGGGGCATGATTAGACCCTGCCACTTATGGTTTCTAGGCCATAGGCAATATTTACAAGTTGATGGAGAAAGAGAAATCTTCACCAACTGTTACCAACAGGAGGCTGGTATAGTAATTTTCATGTTTTAGTCATAAGACTTATTTTGGAACAAAATTATGCTAATAGATGTTGTTTGCTTCATTGCCTTTAGCAAACTTTTCCAGATCTTCAGTGTTGACATGTGCTGCTATTTTTTTTTTTTTTTAAGTCTCAGAGTTCAGTTTGTAAATACCCTGAAAGCAGGCAATGAAAAAATGTCAGAGGCTTAGAGATCTTTCCACAGTTTTTGGTCAGTTTGGTGTCGTCATCATCTAAACATAGGCAGGCTGGACTGGAAGAGATCTCTTGGGTCACAGCTCCCTTGTTTTTGCCTTTCACAGGCACTGTCGTATTACACTTTTTATAAGTGCACTCAGCTCCCTCTTAGTGTTTGGTTTTTGTCCTTATTTGGGGAACTGTTCCTAAATGTTGCAATTCTGAAATGCTCTTCTGAGCTTCTTTAGATTTCCCTTCCTATTCCTGTCCTGTTCAGGACAGAAAACTGTGCTCCAGGGGCTAAGCCTAAAGGCAAGAAGAAAATTGGAGTCCGCAGGCTAGACAAAAAATGTGGCTAGTGTCTCCCAGAGGTATGTTATTCCTGGTTAAAGCTCTCCACTTTCAGAAACAAACTGCACAAACATGAGATCAGACATCATGTGCTTGAATTAGCTAATTAAATAGTGCTTCCTGGCATCAGCAGCAACAGAACATAATAATCTTCGTTAGACAAAGTAGGAGACTGTGTTTAGTTAGTACCAAATAGCATTTCGCATTGGCCTCTTGTAAATCGGAGCTATCTCGATGTTAAAAGACAAACACAGATTCAAACTGCAGATTCGGATAATTTGCTCCACCTTCTCAAAAGCCAGCTATTTCAGAAGTGAATTTTAGTGATTTACAATACCATCTCATATTTCCAAAGGCATTTCTTTACTAGTTTCCAGGTTTTTTTTCCCCTTACGTTGTCTTGTTTAGGTAATACATAAATCTCTCAGAAAAGAGTGTCATCTATAACCTCTGAGGCCCCTTAGTGACAAGCCCCATTGTCAAAGGCAGGCACTTTGCCAGGAAACTGTGACTCCCAGAGAGAGTGTGCAAGGTTAGAGGGGAAAGTATACTATTGCCAGAGAAACTGTATTCCAAGTGGATTTGTGTGGAACAGCAACAATATCCAGTGACTGGTTAAATTAGCCACAGATGTGTTTTCTAGAACGCCGTCCAAGAAGATATACAGTACTTTAAGGCTTGGTTCAGACATAATGATCTTCTGAAGTCAAATCAGATCCAAGCAAAATTGCATCTGTACTAGGGAAGCTTTAAAAGAATTGTGTAATATGATTCAGACAAGTAGATGAATCAGACTGCTGCGAACTAAACAAGGAACACGTCGGTGAGAGATGAGGTAAGATGACTTGCATAGAAGTGTGATAGTTTGATGTTAACAGTTTGCTGTTAAAATTTGAGCTGCAGTGGATTGACACGGGCAGTTAAACGAACACGTAATGGGGGCCACCTGCCCAGAACATGCGAGCAGAGCACAATCTCCCTGTCGTTTCCTTCAGCTTTTCAGAATGTACAAGTGCTTAGTTTTGCACTTGCCGTCTCCATTGCTGTATTGCTGTCCCTGCGCCACTCCTACACAGCTGTGCTGCCGATTTCAGTTTTTAAGAGGATAATTACTCTGCTGAGGGCAATGCACTTGTTAAATATTTGGAGAATTTTCACATACTGAAATCAGAGTACAGGTAAAGGCTCCAGGACTTTTCTCATACAGGAGGATTTTTTCTCGGCATCACAGCTTGAGCAGTACATGGAATTTCTGTCCAAGATCAGTGTTGGGGAGCTCAGTTTCCATCCAGCAACCGAGTTCTGACTCTCCTTTTTAAAGTTCAGATGAGACAGACAGTGGAGAGAAGTCCTGTTGAATTACAGATCTGCTATATGGTTTAAAGTTCTGGGGAAACATAAGCAGCTTAGTTACTGTAATAGTTTGAAAAGGAAGCAAGAAAAGCTTTTGTATTCTCTGACCTATTTCTTTACCCTGTTACTTACTTGAAGTAAATTGAATATGGTGTATTAAAATACTATCATCAAAGAGGGCCTGGAAGTATTCAGCTTAGATTCTTACTGCAATAAGCATTAATAGTAAAAGTGAAATTTAAAAAATAGTATTTTTGTCGAGGAGTTGTAGAGGAGTTATAAATAAAAAGAAAAATTTCCACAATAGAAGTAGCATATACTTGTGGATGAAAATTTACCTCAGTTGCTGTTTTTCAGAGCTTTATTAAATGTTTTTAATGCTATTGATATAAATGAGAAAATGTATCTGTTTAGCTTTGCTTTGAATTTCCAGATATAGTTCCAAAGAGTGCTCAAATGCTGTGAATTTATTTACAGAAATCTTTTCTTTTCCTTTCCTTGTTACTTCTCTGTAATAATTTGTTTTAATCAAGCAAATTGTTTTGCTTCCTATCTTTGGCTTCCAGTTTGCTCTCACTTGAGCTCTGAATTCTGCTTCAGGAGATCTTGCACTTCTATTCCTAGGAATTTTTTCAGGTCACATGCAAGGCTGTGTGTGTATGTGCATGCATGCGTGTAGGTCTTTAGATAGCATACTAATAATTAGAATAACCCTGAAAAGTCATGACTTTGCTTCAGGAGAACTCATGGCAAAAAATGAAACATGCGTCCATTTTCAGGTATATTTTCTGATTTTGACCTGAGAGAGCCAGACATCCTGACAGCTGGCAGAATGTGTTTGTTCTCAACCATGATTATTTTGAAAATGCTTATATCTATGTCTCAATTTCTTCTTTCTTTACAGGGTCTTTGTAAACAGAAGTTTAGCCATGGAAAAGATAAAGTGTTTTGGTTTTGATATGGATTATACACTTGCTGGTGAGTATCTTAATTTTTTTTTGTCATTGACTTAGTTTGGAATATTGCCTCTTGTTGAGCAAAAAACAGTTACTGGTTGGGCTACTCCAGTTAGCAGGTGCTTCTTCTATTAACAAATATATATCGTTCACTATTCATTGCACTTTCATTTTAGATGTTTCCCTTAAATGTATTACCTGTAAGCTGTATTTGATCACAAGCCATGTTGCTGTAGTACAGTTTCAAGTGATTATGGATGTCAAGGAAACAAAAGCTTAATAAATCTAATTGCTTCCTTAGATTCCACTATATTTTGATATTGCCCCTGGGCAAGCTTGGCTTTGAATAATGAGGTGATTTATTTTATCCTTGGTGCATATCGTGGGCTACACCTTTAGCCAGCAGGTTCTCCTGGGAGTGTCATTACCGAGTAGGTTTTCCTATTTCCCACTCCTTGGTTGGCCACATCAGTGACTCATTTTAAAAAGAGGCAAGGCAGGAGGAGTGTCTCATGTCAGCTGAACAAGTTAATTTAGAACGCTTTGCCCATTCTTTATGGCAGACAGCCTTTGGGAGGTTGCATAAGACTTCAGTTTCGTACAATTTTTTACATGACTTCTCCATCTTTTAAATACTCGACAGGCAAGTTCTCTGAGATTTTTGATGAAAGGGGGGTAGAGTTACCATTCTCAGCATAAGCAGACTTGCATGATGTTATGTATTTGAAGGAAGGAAGAGATAAAAAATCCACATCTACTTTCATAGCTTATAGTACCACAGAGGCTGTAACTGAGGATGTCACATACAATCCTGCCTTCTTTCTCATTACCACTTCCAAGGTTATGGATAAAAAGTTCCTATCACCCTTGATATTTCAATTTAGAATTGTGAATATAAACTGAGAAAATGTGAGGTAGAGTGTCAGGTTCACCTAATAATAGGTTAATGCAGTATGCCAGGTATGGTCATCTAGTTACTGTGCCTACTGAGAAGGAATGAGAGATGAGTAATGTGGCTAGTGACAGTGTGAGGGTCACAGGAACCAGGGTCAGTGGCTAAGCAAAGGGCAAGAAGGTTTCCCAGTGCTCATGGTTCAACACAGTGCTGCAAGGAGAAGTTTTGGAGGCTGTGACAGGTAGCTGCAGTTTATATTTAGATCACTTGCTTTTGTTCTTTTAGGCAGTTATGCATGAGGCAGTAGTTATGCATAAAAGGTTTGGTTGTTCAGCACCTTGTTTATACATCTGTTTAAAGTTCCTGCCACTTTTTAAGTCATGAAGTGTACGGTTGTTAAACTGCTGGATCTGACTGCAGGCACGTGCTTTGGGTGTTTGTGTTTCCCAGCTGTGACAGCCTTGTGGCAGTGCCTTTAAGGAGTGCAAAACAGTTGTTCAAGAACAAATGCTTAAAAAAAAAAAGTTGGGGGTTTCATAACAGAAAAACAACTTCTGTGCTTTTTGCAAACTGGTGGCATTTCCCAAGGACTCTGGTGATCCCAGCAGGGCTGGTGTGGAGCATGAAGTGTTGCTAACTTTCATCCTGACAGGAGAGCTTCAGCACTATCCTCACTTCTCCAACTGTTCATTTTACTCAAATGTTGCTTGTTCCTGTAAATGCAGAGCAGATGTGTTGGTTTGATGAGAGGGAAAAAGGTGAATGTTTCAAGCATCCTAAAATAGCACCCAGGGACAGGGAAACCTGGGGCTTCCAAGGATGGAAGATCACTGTGCTACAGTTAAGTAGGCGAAGTCAGTGCATTCAGCGGAGTTGAATGACAGGGTATGGTGCAGAAAAAGAAATGAGATGTGGTCTGAGCAGAAACCTGGAAATCCGGACTGCTCTGGGATAAGCTGCTGTCCTGTGACTTTTTCCATGGTACAACAGAGATAATGGTTGTGGATCATTTTACAAGGAGTTGTGAGAATGTAATTAGGTTGGAAAGCCTTTTGCAGATGAAAAGCATTATGCCAGGTAAGCACGATTTCCCTTTTTTCACTTGACTGGGAAATGAATGTACAGAATGACCTGTTTGTCTTCTTATGTATCAGAATCGTCCTTTCTTCTCCATGTGGGCTTTTGTTATCTGACCATTATTTGCTATATATAACTGTAGCATAGAAGAAAAATTACTTATTCATTGCAGGGACTTTAAAGGGTATAGTGTTAGAATATGATTATGATTATAATTAATTAATTGTAAATTATAATGAAGAAGTGGGGCAAGTAAAGTATTACATTAATATGTTGTAGTGCATTCATTAGACCCTGTCATGTTTTCTATCTGAGCACATTATCCCTTACATACTCTTTCACATGGACATGTTACTGTCTAGATTAAAAGAGAAAAAACAATGTAAAAAGCTAGTTTATCTGTAATTTAACATCTGGAAATGGTATCTGCATACCAGATGGTGCATGCTGAGCAGAAGCGTTTTGGAGACCATTCAAGACATGTAAATGGACCAAGGAAGAAGAACGGAAGCATCTCAGTGTCATCAGCTCCTCATCGAGTTTTCTGCATTTGTACTTTCAGATATTGTGAAGTCACTGTTCTTTAAAGTTGTTTACAAATATCCCAAGCACAGTCTTCATATTCAATGATTGAAGGTGGTCAGAGCCACTGACCCTACCAAAAACTATATGCCACATCCTTTCCCCACTCTCTGTTGTGAACTTTCACATCAGAAATAAACTGATGTCATTCATCCCACAGCTGACAGTCATACACTTTTACATCAAAGAAGAAGAATGATTACTTTGGAACACCTTGAATTACCTGTCTTGCGAAGATGAGGCTGTGGTATCAGTAAAAGAAAACACAGTGTCAATCTTCTTTCTTCTTCCCAAATCAGTGGCCACTGGTAGCACCAAAAGTCTTGCTTAGGAAGTGGTTCAGTACCAGAGAAGTCAGAATCACTTGACTTATTTTGAACTTTAGAAGCTTGAGACAGTTTTGTTTTGTACTTTATGAGTTTAAGGACACAAACCTACTTACAATAACACTGTTTTCTGTCTAGAATAATCTAATTTTGGTAGGGATGTGGAATTTCCATCTTTAAATACATTGTAACAGCTACTACACACATGGTGCAGTGATCATGTGTTCTACTGCTAGCATGACTGAGAATGTCAGCTTGCCAACTGACAGCAGCTTTAGTATCATCATGTTACATTGCACATAAAATACGATTTCATGCATTGTTTTATAGGGTAGGATTTCTTAGCCTTATTAAATTAAAGGACCACTTAACTCAGAATTGAAAAAATTCAAGGCTGTTTGATACAGCCTTGCCACAGTGATTTTGTTTGCTTTCAAGTCAAAATTAAGTTAAACTTCATATTCTTGCTAATAACTTCTATGTTCCCTCATTGTGTTTGTCTCTTTCCTTGCATAGCGTTGAGAAATACTGTTAATGAGGCTTTTTGTCTTGAAGAAAAGAGCCTGAAGGTTTTAGCCTTTTCGTCTGAGAAATTAAGGACATTCAGTTGCTGAATTTGTAGCCACTTAATTTGACTGCTTGAGCTCAAAATAAAATGAAAGCAAACTGAAATAACCCTCACAGGTTTTAGATTCCTTGTTCTCCTATCAAGGATTGCTGTTACATCCTCATGGTGGAAAAGAGATCTCTTACCTGTATGGAAACTCCCAAGTCTCCCTACATTTACACACCGGATACACTAATACTAGAGGCTTAGAAATCTGTGTTGTGTATAAAGCTGACTGTCCCCTTCCTATTCAATCTGTTTGGTTTGCTTGTGTTAGTGAATCATATTTAGTACATAAAAGAGTGTTTCTTTTAAGCTAGGTGTTATTGAGAGGAAAGTTGAAGGAGCAGGAAAAACAGCAGGGTTGACTCTGGTTTGTGTGTGTAGTTAAACAGTTGCTACTTAAAATCTTGGACAGCTTGACGCAAGCAAGAGTCATCAGCTATTTCAGCCCTTGTTGTTAGCCAAGGTTAAGACAAGTTTCTGTGATGTTATGCAGCCGTCACCGCAGCAGCCCTTCATTCTCTGCTGCTGACCTTGCTGCTTGCCAGCCAGGGAGCAAGGCCCGTGCCCACTCCCTGGCATTCCCTTGCTGCCTGGAAAGTGATGGTGTTACACCAGGATCTGCCAGTACCCGTGAAGGGCTGTGTTTACTGTCAGGGGAGAACTGAGAATTTTTGAAAAATTCCTGTTTAAATCCTTAAGTTAGAGAGATTTGCAGGTCCTTTTGTAGGGCATTTTTGTTTGCAAGTAGTTTCTTTTATTATCCAAATGATTCATCTCTGCTTATTCATCCTGACTGTCTAGAAGACCAGTAGTCAGTAACAATTCTGATCTGTCTTCCTATTTTACTAGTACTGTCAAAACTGCCCATGCTTTGGTAGAGGAAAATGTTTCATATAATGCAGAAGATTCACAGCTTTCTCTGTGTTTACTGCAAACTGCAGAAAGATAAAGGTATCTTAGTAGAGTCTTCACTGCAACATTCACCTGAGACTAGGAGTTGGTGAGGCCCTTTGGAAATGTAGCAGAGAAATTAGTTTCACACAGCATTTTATTTGCCTGTGTCCTTCTCAGTGTGAGCTACACCTGTAATTAGTAGGTCTGGATACAAATAATGCAGGAGGCCTTGGCATTACTATGTCTCAAATGGGACAGGTTGCACAATGAGGTGATGGATAGATGTCCCTTGACAGGAGCAGGGCTAAAGTAATGGGGTTCTCCAACTGCCTGTAATTTCACACCGGACCATTGGCAGTTGAGGGAATTAGTAAGAATTACAAACTCAGTTGTGCTTGAAAAGATTCCTCTGTGACTACCCTCCTTCTCCAAAAGTTATGGCCTTGTTGAAAGTTTTATCTTCTATCTCTGACATAGCTAAGATGTAGTATCAGTAGGCAGGATGCTCTCACTTGGAATGCTTTTCCTGTACTTAAATCACTGCTGCTTCCACATTCTCTAGAAATCAATAATAAAATTGTAATTGGCTGCTGAAAACTCTTTCAATAAAAAAGAAGGGGAAATGGGGCTTGAAA